ATATTGACTATAAATTCTGTCTACATCACGTGCATCACAATTAAGTTTCTTTGTGCTCCACACAATGCAGTCCCCCCCACACACACACGCACACACAGAGCTTTTGTACTCTTGGAGATCCCATCTCACAGAAGCTGCCTCTGGAAGAAACCACTCAGGACCCAGCAGGCTGCAGGGAGCTGCCTCGAGGGGTGCAGGGGGTTTGGCTGCTGAGGTGTTTTGTTTCCTGCAGTAATTCAGTGGTTACAGGTCCCTGTTGTTGTGCATTCCTGAGGTCTCTGTGGTGTAAATTGATTTCAAGGTCACTTCCTAGAAAACCCTGCCAAGGAGAAACAGGAGTAGCTGTTAGAAAGATCCTGCCTGCTGGCCATGTCCTGTGGCTCCTGTGAGAACAGCAGTGACACAGCTCCTAAAGTGGAGGGCAGGAGCTCTCTGGCACTGTCAGGATCTCTGACACCTGGAGCTGGGAATGTGCAGGGCTTGCAGAGGGCCCTCCTCTGCAGGGGAAGGGGCTGAGCAGGTGGAGTAGGGGGGGTGTAAAGGAGGGTAATTTCCTCTTTTCTCTGTGGCTGTGAGGCTTTAGAATGTCACTTCAGGGCTTTGACACTTGTGGTTTTGTATAATTTGTTCTTGTTCGGCATCTATCTAGCTGACCTTTGGAGTACTGTCTTCTCACAGATGTGGGGTTTGTACTGGTTACTGAGAATTTGTACAGTTCAGAACACTTCCAAACATGGCTTCTTGCATTGTTCTCAAGCTCTCTTCTCACAAGCTGATTTTCACTTTTTGGTGTTGTTCCATAATCTATTTGGGATGGATATTTACCAGAGCAGGTAACTCTGGTAAATACACTTGGATGTATTTCCCAGGAGATCACAGGGCAAAAGCTTGGTCAGAGCACTCTGCTGGTTTCACAGTCAGCCATATCACTGTTAATGGTTGTTCCTTGTAATTTGTCTGCTTCAGTGGCATTAAGGGGTCTTTGTTGTGATGCAGAGGTCACTGTAACCAGTTGGAAATATCCTTATCCTAGTTTGGGCTCCCTTCAGTGTGAAAGGAAAATCTGACACTATTGAACCTTTGAGATCTTTGACTTTCCTGCATGTTTTAACTTTTCAGCTAGAAATCGTTTCACTTGTTGGTTTTTTTTTTTTTTTAATTTCTTCTTTGTTGAATTTTTTCATTCTGACGAACTGTATCTAAATGCTTATATATTTTTTTACTTTTAGATGCACCCAAAAACAATTGGTTATAGTTCTAAGCAAAAGATCTTGATGAGTTCAAACAGATTCTGGGTTCCTCTGTCTTCACTCAGCCCTCTCATGAAATTTAATGTGTAATTTCAGTTTCAGGACTGCAGGGATTTAAATGACTCTTTGAACTGTTGGTCACAGTCTACTACAATAAAAGCACTGATTTTTGCAACAATTCTTTGGCCAGAAATCTGGGAAAAACCAACTTGATTTAGGGGAGGACACTGGTGGGCCTGAGCCAGCACCCCTTGTGGAATGGTTGGTTTGGGTATGAGGTGTTAATCCCAGTGGGGCTTACAGGGAGGGAGGGAGTGGCTTCATGGCACCACTAATTTTATTATATATATATATATATATTTGATATATATCTGATTCTGTTGGAAACTTTAGTCATCCCAGTGTCAGTTTGAAGTGCAGACCCACAGTTTAACACACAGTGCTAGCACAACACTGCTGTTGTTCCTTCTGGGAAAGGAGAAGCACAGAAGGGAGAGACAAATCCTAGTTCCTGTATCTTGCTCAGTGCAGAGTTCCTGCAGGAAGGAGCTGAAAGAGCAAGTGCAGGCAGCCAAAGCATTAAAACAATAAATACTAAATACTCTGTGCCTTTCATTTCTCTGGGATGTTCTGTTGTCCACCTTGGACTCTGAGAATCCCAGAGGAGGATGCATAACAGCCTTGTGATGGCTTGAAAAAAATTAAGTATTTCTCTGTCTTTAGAACTTCCCTCAGTTTCCCTGTTGCAGCAATGGGCTGTTGCATAGAGAGGATGATTTTGGTAAGAGGATTCTGCTGGGTGCAGAAATGGGCTGCTCTCCTGCTCACTCACTCTGCAGGGATGGAAAGTCTGGGTGCTCTGGGAACAGCTTTGCTGTCTGTGTCTGCAGCGTGGAGCTTCAGCTGTCCTTCATGTGATCTCAGGCATCTTCCCTGCTGTATTTTTAGAGCTGTTGTGCAAAGAAGATTAGCAAAGGACTTAATATCGATGTGGATATGGATTCTTTCTCAAATATGGCAGTGTTCCCCCTATTTAGGCAATGTGTTTGGGCTGGTGTTACAGTTATATCACCAGGCTGTGCACTGCCATGTGCCTCTGCCCTGCCTCTCTTCCTGCTCCAGATGTTGTTTAACTGACTGAAAAAGTGGCTGCTCTCTTAGTCCTGGTCTTAGTTTTGCTGGATCTAATGACAGTTTATTAGGGAGCCTGTTTCCAGCTGGATCAAGTCTATACTTAATGGAGAAAGAAGCAGCTGGGAGTTGAGATCCAGTGGTTTACCTTCAGATGGGAGCCACAGGCACCTGGATTCAGTGGTGGTTTCAGACTGCCTCTTGTGGTCTCTCCATGGTGAGGGGGCACTTACAGGTGAAGCTGTTCAAGTGAGGCCTTTTGGAGGGTCCTGGTCCCACTAGAACAGCTCTTGTTTGTCTGGAAACTCCCTCAAATATTCCTGGCATAGCTGCACCCCTGAAGGAGCAGAATCACAGAATAATTTGGGTGGGAAGAGACCCTAAAAGCTCATCCAGTCCCACCCCCTGGCCATGGGCAGGGGCACATTTTGCTGTCCCAGGTTGCTCCAAGCCCTGTCCAGCCTGACATTTCCTTGGACATTTCCAGGGATCCAGGCACAGCCACAGCTTCTCTGGGCACCCTGTGCCAGGGCCTCAACACCCTCACAAGGAAGAATTTCTTCCTAACATCTGAATTAAGTGTGTCCTCTTTTAGTTTAAGGCCCTTTCCCATTGTCCTATCAAGCTGTCCACCCTTGTGGAGCTAATTGGGGCAGCTTCTCTCAAGGAAGGGCTTTCAGTGACACCTCTTTGCAAGTGTGTTATGGGCATGTGTATGGAGAGACATGGGACAAACTGCTCAAAACCAGTTGCTAAATATTCTGGTACCCCAGAGGCCTCTGAAGGTGTTCTCAGCATGCACTGCCCAACCACTCAGGACTCCAGTAACTTAGAATGGGTGGCCTGAAGAGATACCTTGTGTATGTGCTGGAACAGAAGAGACCAGCAAGGTGAAGGCTTTGGCCTCAGGATAGCCCTGGGTGGTGGTTTGGAGTCTGGAGGGCTGGGAGAGGCAGGTGGAAGCACAAATAGGAAGTGTTGACTCTGCCTGAGCAGGTGAATGGGCTGGCAAGTGCAGAGAGGAGAGCTGAGGTGTGCAGCCCTCCTGCCAGGTGGTCCTGGAGCAGAGGGCACCAGGAGAGGAGGGCCTGGAGTGTCCTGTGGCAACGCCTGACACAGATCCATGAACTTCCATCCTAACAAATTAAGCTGCTTAAAGCAGTGAGTGTGCTTCTCTGGGCTGGAGCCAGGTGGATCTGCGTTGGAAATAGTCACTTACCATGGGACTTTTGCATTTATCTAAACTGGTTTTGTTATTCCTGTGATGAGGAGTGAAAAGCACAGGTAGAAGGACATGATAAAGGTTCTCTGAGAAGTGTGGCAAAGCAAGCAGGATATTGCTGAGGGACTGGGAGAGCAGGGTTTCAAACCTGCGTGCTCTGTTCTGGCCAGGACTCCAGCTGGCAGCTGCCTGCACTTCCCTTCTGATACTGGAGCAACACGATAATCTGAAATAGCTCCTTTCCCATCCAGAGGTCCGGGAGCAGGAGATATGGAATGTGTCCTTAAGTGCCTGGGCTATTTTGGGAGCAGGGACATGAATCTGTGCAGGGGCATCCAGGCTTTGCATGGCTGTGCTAACGGGGAGCTGACAGCACAGCCCAGCTCCAGCATCAGCACATCAATGTTTGCTTTTGGGGCAGAGAACTCATGAACATTTTTAGTTTTCTGTGCTGTATAAAATGGTGGTGTCTTCTGGAAGATGGGAAGATGACAGCAGTTCCTAGAGGAATTGCCTTGGAATGATGGCAGAAACATCTTAGGATGGAAATCTGAGCTCTGAGAGTCCAGTGGAAGGAGAGCACAGGTTCTCCTCCTGGAACAGCTGCACTGGAATTCTGGGCAGCTTGTGCACCGAGCACATATTTGCAACAGCAGCACAACATGCAAGAGGTTTTTCAGAAATCCAAGGAAAACATTCCATCCTAACATCTTAGAATAGAGTAAGAGATGAAGTTAGGGAAGGAGCAGGAGCAGTAGGTACTGTTCATGCAAGTGAGCTTCACTGCAAGTGCCAGGGAAGACTGGATTTCTGCTCGAGCTGCTAAAGAAGCTTTGCAGAAAGGGCTTTTCAGAGGGATGTGCTAATAGAACAGGGAAGATTTCAGAGCCAGGACAGAGTTGTTTTAGAAATGGATAAATTGAGGCAAAGTGAGTAGCCAATAATTGGTGGCCTTATTTTTGATAGTTTAGGGCAACAAGAACTGTTTGGCACATCACATTTTAAGGCTTCATACAGACAGTATTGACCCAGAAATTATAATATTCGAGTCTTTAGCCAGCAGAAATCAGCAGAGCTCTGTTTGCTTTTGCTAGTTAGGAGCTTCCTGATGTTGAAGTGATGATTCCCTTCTTAGTATTCTTCAACAACAGAATTCTGTTTCTACTTCACGTGTGAAGGAAAAGTTATGTTAGGACATGCTTGGCTGGTGACTGATATGGTGCTGTCCCTGCTTTTACCTACTCTGCTTGAACGTAATCTCTGAGAAAACTGGGCCCAACTCCAGGGTTCAGGGGCCTCAGGTTTTGTTGACTTTCAGTGTAAGGGAATGAATTAATTCAGAAAGAGTTAAAATTGATTTACCCAGAAGCTGAAGTTTACTTTATTTTCACTTCTAGGCCTATGAGAAACGCTTTCCTACATGCCCAGAGATCCCAGTCTTCCTGGGGAGTGAAATCCTGCACGAATCCAAGAGTGAGGACGGAGCCATCCATGTCATTGAGCGAAGCTGCAAGCTGAATGTGGATGCTCCCAGGCTGCTGAAGAAGGCAGGTGGAACCTTGGGAGCAGAGAAGCCTGCATTCTCTTTGCTGGCTCAGATAGACAAAGGCTCCTAATACTCTTGTCTCTCTGTTTCCCCCTCCTCTTCAGATTGCAGGGGTAGAGTATGTCTTCTTCATCCAGAAGAACACAGTGAACTGGAGAGAGAGAACGCTCCGCATCGAAGCCCACAACGAGACCTTTGCCAACCGGGTGGTGGTCAGGGAGACCTGCAGCTACTCAGTGAGAGCCCTGCTGGGGCTGGAGGGGGGAACTGTGCACTCACACAGGGGGAAGGTGCCTGAATGGGTTTGAGCAACCCTGCAATGCTGGGCTGGGATCAGAGACTGGGGCTGGAAAGGCTGGTGGGTCCTGGGTGTGGGATTGTTCTGGTGCTATGGATGAAGGGCCTGGAAAGACAAGGCCAGGAGGAATGGCTTCCCACAGACAAATAGGACATTGGGAAGGAATTCTTCCTTGTGAGGGTAGGGAGGCCCTGGCACAGGGTGCCCAGAGCAGCTGTGGCTGCCCCTGGATCCCTGGAAATGTCCAAAGTCAGGTTGGACAGGACTTGGAGCAACCTGGGACAGTGGGAGGTGTCCCTGCCCATGGCAGGGTGTGGAACAAGAACGGCTTTAAGGTCTCAATGATCTTAAAGGTCTCTTCCAACCTAGTGATTCTGTGTGTGATTCTGTGTGTCCATCCAAACCATTCTGTGATTTCATAAGGCTTGAGAAACATCTTCAGGTTGATTGTTTGTTGATTCAGATTGATTCCTTGCTTGGAATGAAAGTGGAAAACAGAACTGCTGGTATTCCCTCAGTTTCTTTTTGATTGAAATTCAGGCTAACAAAAACATCTAGAGCTTGGGCATGTCTATAAATCTGGAAATCTAGAATTAAACCCTTACTATTCATTATTATAAGGGTCTGAGTGAAGTCTGCCCATTTATTTTGCCCACAAATAAGTGAAAGTTTTAGCACCTTGTTTGTCATTATTTTCGTGCTCTAAACATTTGGAGAAATGACTTGGGCCTTATTTGTGGCCTGGGCTGCCTCCCTCTGTGGCTGTTTCTGTGCTGTTTCACTGTAATGGTGCTCTGAGGGCCCAGTCACCATGAAATAGCTCAGCTGTTTCTGGAGGCAGTCAGATCCTGGTTGCTGTTCCTTACACAAATGTCCAGCTCCTGTTACTTGCCTGCCCTTTTGGCAGCTGGACAGCAGCTCAGTTTCTTGGGAGTAAGGAGGCTGTGAGGAGCTTCATGCAAGAGGAGGAGTGGAAAAGCTGAGAAAATTTTGGATGGTGAGGGTGTTCCTGGGCCAGAGGTCCCTTGATGGCTGCATGAGGCTTCCTAAAAACTGCTTAAAACATCCTAAAAAATGCTGTAAATTAAACTTCCATCATCATCAAAGGCACTGACAGGTCTGAAATGCTCCCAGGTCAACTCTGAGATTGTTACACTCACTGATTTTGGCTGTGTCCTTAGGAAGGAAACGTCAGCATCTGGGCTTTGAGGGGAACAGGGTGGGAGCTGCTGGCTGCATCCTCAAGATGGTTCCCTGCTCTATTTTTACCAGTTCCCTTTTCCCTGCCAGAGTGCACCGGAAGCAGGTTTATTCTCATCTTTCCTTTTCTGCAGTGTTCTCTGAGGCAACTTGGAGAAATATGATCCTGCTCCTGCAGTTACCTAATATCTCTCCAGGGAATTTGTCTTTTATGGTGTCTTTGTGTGGGGGCTGGAGTTGTTTTTCTTTCGTGTCAGTTTGTGAACAGCAGCACCTGCAGAGAGAAGGCAGAGTCTTCTCAGGAAAGGGTTAAGTTTAAAAGAGGGAAGGATTCTGCCATATATAGAGCAACAGAGGGGAAACAGGGGAAAGGTGTGTGTTGAGCTGAAGAGTGGGGAAACCCTCTGCTCTGCCATGTCCCCAGTGTTTTGGGGAGAAGGCTAAGTCTCCCATCCAAAACTAAAAAAGAAACGTGGTTTGCATTTTTCTTCTTTGCAGGTGTAGGAGTTTTAATTGCATGTTCCACAAGGCCATCCTTGTCTTTCCATAAAGAGACCTTGACATGATGGCTTGAAGTGGTTCTGCTGCTATTTTTGTGCAGCTTTTACTACTAAAGTTCAGGTCTGCTGGGACAGGGATGGGTTTAAATCTTGATTTCTTTGTGCATGTGAAGAATGTTGGGTTAGGAAAAGTCTGGATGTCCAGTTCACAAAGGGTTCTCACAGCAGGAATGAACCTGGGCGGTCACTCCAGGTCTGGCAGTGCCTCCTCTGCCCCTCTCTGTAGCTGTGGAGGTTGAACAGCCAGTGTGGTGCCAGGGCCATGAGCCAACTGCCACCATCCGTCCTGTGTGTTCCCCTGGCTGCAGGTTCACCCTGAGAACGAGGAGTGGACCTGCTTTGAGCAGTCAGCCTCTCTCGACATCAAATCCTTTTTTGGCTTTGAAAGCACCGTGGAAAAAATTGCCATGAAGCAGTACACCTCCAACATCAAACGGGTAAGGTGGGCTTCCCTGGCTGCCTGAGCACCCCAGGCCCTCTATTTGCCTTTCTGTAAACTGACCCAGTGTAATTTTGTGCTCTTGCTTACGGCTCTGAAATCCCTCAGGTGGGCGAAGGAAGGCAAAGCCAGTGTGCAAAGAGCACAGAACAGAACAGAGCTGGCTGGAATGTGGCTGTGCAGGGATGGAACAGGCTGTGCCAGAGGAGCACTGCACTGGGTGCTGTGAGTGCAGGGCTGCTGGACACTGGGAACACTCTTCTTGTGCAGAAAGGGAAAGCTCTGGGTGAAAATCACCCCCTGTGTCTCCAGAGCTTGGGCTTGGGTCAGTGGCTTGGGGCTGTGGAGAACAGGGCAGCTAATTCAGTTTGGGAGCAGGAGGATGGGGTAAAACTGTTAGAAAGGCAGCTGCATCCACAACTGTGATTTGCCTGGCCATTAGTGTAATTCATCATTTACAGGGGGCTTTGATGCTGGAGGTTTTTTGACAGGATCCTGGGGATGGAAGGAGAGATTACCCCTCTGTTTATCCTCAGCAGCATTCATCATCCGTCCCGAGGAAACTCCAGTGCCTTGTTGGCTGGAGTTGGCTTTCTGCTAATGAGCCTTTTCCCCTTCAGGGCAAGGAGGTGATTGAGCACTACCTGAAGGAGCTGATCTCCCAAGGGATCACGTTCATCCCGCGCTGGAGCCCTGCCGCGGCGAAGGAGGAGCGAGTCCCGGCGGCGGGGCAGGTCCCCGGTGCCATCCCGCCGGATCCCGGGGCTGCCGGCAGCAGCAGGGAACCGGCTGCCAGCCCCTGCCCGCCCCCAGAGCCTGCCAGCCCTGACGGTAGGCACCGCAGCACTGACCAGGGAGCTTTTTGAATTTCTCTTGGCATCAGGTTTTTCATCTGGAGTGTGGGGGAGGAGGGAAAGCTATTTTCTTTTTTCAAGAAAAATAAACAATGGAACTTTTTTTTTTTTCCCCCTAAAACAAAAAAGCTATGCAGGCAGTATGTTTTGGAGCTTAGGGAAAAAAAAAAAATTAGGTTTGGTCAGCCCTTTAAAGTCTTCAGTATGCTGGAATTAAATATTTTATCTGTTCCAAAATTAATATTCTTGGGGACAGGTTTGGAGGTTTTTGGCCCTGTATCAGACCAAGAAAAACTTGAGGAATGTCTCCTAATGCATTTTTCCCAAAAAATGCCTGAAACAAACTTTTATCTTTTCGTGTGTTGGTCTGATGATATTTTCTAGACTAAATAAAACACTTATCTGGAGAAAAGAAATAGGAGGGATCTTTGAATCCAGAGCTGTTGTAATAGAAACAGTTGTCATTCCTGAGATGGAAAGGCAGCACTTGTTTTGCTGAGTGTAACTAGACAAAAAGCCTGGAATTTGGAAATATCAGTAGTTCTGCTCTCACCTGACATTCTCTGGGGGCTTTTCTGGAAAACATATGGGAATCCACTGAGAAGCTGATTAGGAGAAATGTTTGAGATTAATGTTGACCTCAGAGTGGCAGGTCCCAGCTAGCAGAAGAGGAAGAAGAACCCTTGTTTTTCTGCCCATATTCCTGTTCAGGACAGGATTAACTTCCCTGGGCCTGCTCCTCACCTTGCTAGCTCTGGGGGTTCCATGGGATGTCTGACTTCCAAATGCAATTTCTTTGTTATCCTGCTTATCCTGTGGATGTCCAGGCCTCCTTCTGTAGGTGATGGCATCTACTGAGAGCTGTGTGCCTGACAGAGAGCCAGCTCTGTCCCCAGCCTTGCTCCCTGTGTCTTCCACCCCAGCTGCTGCCTGGGCTGCTCGTCCCAGCTACCCTGTTGTGCTGGCTAGCAGCTGCCAGCCCTGGGTGACACATCCCTCTGTCCCTCGGTGCTGGCAGTCACCAGCCCCTTGTCCTTTGTCTCTGAGCTGGAGGAGCATTGAGCTGCTTGGTGTGCACAGGACTTTTCCTCCTGCCAAAATCCTCCCTGGCTGTCAGAAATGTGCTGTTGTTCTCCCTTAGTCTCTGGTGTCCCTGGGTAGAATAGTGGCTTGGTTTTCCAGCAAGCCACTTGTCACTGCAGTTGTGCATGAGATTTAGGGCACGTGGAGATGGAAGTGCCCAAGTTTTGGAGTGGTTGGTGAGCTGAGTGCCAGAGCTCATGATAGATCTTTTAAAGCTCCTCCTGGAGCAATTCAGGGCTGAATGGAGTATCAGAGACAGAGGGAATGATCCAGCTGTGATACAGCATGTGCTGCCCCAGTCACCAGAATAGTGTCCCTCCATCCCTGCCTCCCTTCCCTTCCTCCCTCAGGCCGCTGGGATGAGGCTTCTGAGCAAATCCCATGTAAATCATAGGGAACCCAATGTGTAGAAACACCTGGTGCCCTCCCTGCTGGCTGTGCCAGTCTGCTCTGAGTTGTTGTTTCTCCCTGCAGCGGACAAACTGGACGCGGATTACATCGAGCGCTACCTGGGCCATCTCACCCCGATGCAGGAGAGCTGCCTGATCCGCCTGCGCCAGTGGCTCCAGGAGACTCACAAGGGAAAGGTGGGTAGGGCAGGCACTGAGGGGCATCCGGGGGGATCCCCAGCTGGGATGGGGAGCCCTGGATGCACAAACACACTGGGCAATGCGAGGCTGGAGTGTGACACCACGGGAAGGGACCTGGGGGTCCTGGTCCATGTTGAGCTGAGCACGAGTCGGCCCTGGCAGCCCAAAGGGTCACCGTGCCCTGCAGGCACTGTCCTGCTCTGCTCTGTGCCAGAGTGACCTCACCTCTAATCCTGGACACCAGGATTATCAGAATATCAGATATTCTCAGAAATCAGGACATCAGAAGGATCTAAAGCTGTCAGAAAGTGTCCCAAGGAGGAACATGAGGGTGGGGGAGGGTCTCAGGGGGAAGCCATAGGAGGAGCAGCTGAGGGCACTTGGTCTGTTCAGCTGGAGGAGATGGAGCACAGAGCTCACTGGGGCTGCAGCTCCTCCCGAGGGGCAGCTCCAATCTCTACTTTGTGACAGGGACAGGAATGGCTGGAGCTGTGCCAGGACAGGTTAGGTTGGCTGTCAGGAAAGGTTCTTCCCCCAGAGGGTGCTGGCACTGCCCAGGCTCCCCAGGGAATGGGCACCACCCTGAGGCTGCCAGAGCTCCAGGAGTGTTTGGACAATGCTCAGGCACAGGGTGGGATTGTTGGGGGTCTGTGCAGGGTCAGGAGTTGGACTGGATGATCCTTGAATCCCTTTCTGCTCAAGGTAATTCCATGGTTCTCTGATTTTTCCTTGAGAAGTGGCACGGGCAATGAAGTACAGGTGTGTCTCTGCTCTGCTGGAATCTCCAGAAGCTACATGGGCTCCTTTTGGTTAAAGGAAAGTCTCAGACCAGCAGGGTAACTGATATGTGACTGGGAAAGAAAGGGTCTAGAGCAGCTTGAATGCCTCAAAAGGGGCTTATCTCCAGATTTCCTGATGGAGGGGGATTAGGAGGGAAGGAAAGAAGGACCGAGCATAGCACCAGAGAGAGCAGTTGGGTGGGCTGAGCAGATAAAGGGTGCTTAGGAAGAGGAGCAAGTGATTTTACTTGGAAGCAGAGAAGAGCTGGATGAAGTTTCAACAGTAAAAGCTTCCTGGCTTAGGAGGAATCATCTCAGGATAGGTTAGGTGAGATGCTCTGCATTCCTGGGTTTGGGAAGATTTTCATTCTTTTTTCTTTACCTGGCCTTTCCAAAAGACACTGCTGCTTACAAGGAGCTTTGCCAGTCCTGCATGCTGTGCTGTATGTCTCAGAGCTGAGCATGTCTCATCTGAGTCTGAACATGATTTAGAATGCTGTTTCTTCTTGGAAAAGTGAATGTGAATCACCTCTGTAGAAATAAAATGTAACAAAGATTTAGTGCTATTGTTCTGCTGCAGTTGAACTGAAGTTCCCTTGTGTGTGAGCAGACACGTGAGTTTTGTTGGTACCCAGGAATGTGGATGGAGAAACAGCTCCCAGCAAACCTGAGTCTGAAGAGAGCAGGAGGTGTTGGGGCAGTGTGAGAGGCTCCCAGCAGCTGATAAGCTCCAGACACCAACAGTGCTGTTGAATTTTAGGAGCTGATAGATTCCCACCCCAAACATCTGCCAGAGCTGGCCAAGGCCATCGGTGTACAGTGGCATCAACAGCAGGCTGGATAACTTGGACCAGAAGAGTGGGGGCTGCTGGGGGCAGGTAGAGACTACAGGAATATATATAATATATAATATATTGCATATATGCACACACCTGATGTAGCAAAGGGCCCCTTGAAGGGCTGTGGCACCTCCCTGGCAGCTGCTCTTGTGTCACTGTGATGCTCTGCCCCTGAGGAAGGAGCTGGGGCTGGGCTCCCAGCCAGCCAGGGGTGGTGAGTGAGCTGTGTGAGCAGGAGCAGCTTCACCAAGAAAAGGGGCTCTGCTGGAATCTGCTTTTGATCTGTGTCTGCCTGTGATCCAGCCTCCAGTCAGATGGGAGGCACTGGACAGGCAGGGATCAGTCCCCAGGTGTGACTGTGCTCTGACAGAGGACAGGAAGCTTTTCCTGGAGACCAGAACAGTGAAGTGCTGTGGGCTCCACTGGGGTAGGAGATATCTCACCTAGTGGCTCCTGGATGGGAGGACATCCCAAAGAGAGGGAGGCCTTGTCCCTGGCGTGAGCTGCAAGGATCCTGCTTTCAGCTGGAACAGGCACCACCAAACCTTTTTTTAGGCTGAAAAGCATCAACCCACAGGTTGGCTTCCCCCATCCATGTCAGAGGCTGGGGAATCAAGCTGGAGAAGGAGAAAGTGAGAGCACATAAGCAGAATATGGAACAGCTGCCCCTTGGGTGCTTGGAGCTGGGCAGGGAGTGGCAGCCCTTGTCCCCTGTGCTGTGCTGGGAGCAGCTGAGTCCTGAGCTCAGGGGACAGTGGAGCTGCCTCAGGACTTGGGTGGCCTTGCTGGGCCTTGTCCCCAGGAGGATGTGGGCACACAGGTAGGGAGGTGCTGGCTACTGAAACTTCAGATTGAGCCCCCTGACTGCTCAGCTGCCTCTCCTGATTCCCTGACAGAGCAGACTAAAATCAGGAGCTTATCCTGCAAGGCTGGGATTGTCCCTGGAGAGGCTCTTACCTTGCTGTGACAATCTGTTCTTTTAATTCAGAGCATAGATGGCCTTATTCCTGTCAGAAATTATCAAAAAATAGATCTCCTGTTTCTTGGAAAATGGCCCTTCTTATTTTTGTCCTCTGTCCTATTTCACTATCCCTTCCTTATTCCTTCCAAAGCAGACATTACCTTTACAGTCAGATATGTTGTTGCTTAAAAAATCTGAAGAGTTGAAGGAGCTGTAAATGGTGTTAAATTTGCAGCAACTTAAAGCTCTGTTCAAGGCTTTGCACCATGCAGGAGAGTGCAGCAGTTGTACCAGGGAATACAAAAGCAGGCTGAAATTAAACCTTTGTTTACTTGCATGTGGGAGTTACTGCTTTGGTTGGACAAGGATAAAAGACTAATTCTGCTGTGAAATAAGTCTTCTTGGAGCTTCCTGCCTTTGGTCCAAACAGAAGTGCTGGATTTGATTCTTGCCTGGAGCTGTGCACAGGGGAGGTTTGAAACAGGGAAAGTATCAAACCTTCCAGCAGCCATCCCCTCTCCTGCAGAGATCCAGGAGCTGTTGTGGGTGTCTGGGCTGGGTCTGATGAGTGACAGCTGCCTCTGAGCAGCAGGAACGCAAACCTGAATTATCTGATCAACACTCTGCTGGCTTTAAACTTGTTGTCATACTGAATTACTCTTAGTACTCCTGAGATCATCTTTGGGAAGGCTGCCCTCTCCTTCCCAGGACACACAGATGCAGTGTTAGAACCAGTGTTAATCTCCCCCCATTCCCTAAGGTGCTTTAGGATTGGTTTAGGCTGCCTGAACTCTGCCCCTTCTTTAGGTGAGTCAATTGTTCCCTCTCTTGCTTGTGAATCCAAGATTGCTCCCTGCTGACACAGCTGCCAGCCTTGCTTTCTACCCAGCATTCTGTTTCCCTGAGCATGGCAGTGGACAAACAAAGGAGCTTTGACTCCTGAACATGGGGGTTTGTGTCCCAGCAGGGCTGGGAGTGCTTGGGTTGTGCTAGCACAGTATGGATACTCTGGAAGGGATGATCCCTGCTCCACAGAGCTGGAATTTTTTATGCAAACTTGTAGAGAATGAGGCCAAGCACTTTTGGAGAAGTTGGAGTGAGGGACTGGGGATCCAGCAGCACATGCAGCTTTAATCCAGTTGGATTTGCAGCTGACAGGCTCTTAGGCAGATTTGGCACTTCTGTGGAATCCATCAGGTTTGTTGTTAATTCCTGCTGCTTGGCACTCCTGCCAAACTTTCTTTGATTCTCCAGCTAAAGAGAGACATGGCAGGTCTGGAAGGAGGCTGGAATAAGCCATTCTGCAGACTTGCTTTGGAAAGCTTCTGTGCCTGTGATGTTAGGATTAGTGCTAGTGCTGGGGTGGGTGATTGGGAGAGGGTGTGTTGTAGTTTAGGTTGATTTGGATCAAGAGTTATTGTGGTGTAATGGGGCAGGGAAGTCTTTGGAAGCACTCAGCAGCTTTCCTGTTCCAACACCAGCAGCACAAGAGCTGGAATTGGTACTGGTGGCATCATTCAGACTGCACAGATGTGATTCCCCTCCAGTGCCTGGTGTGGTCAGTGTGTTACCTGTGGCTGTTTGTTACCTCTTGCCATCTTGGGCTGATTTGCCCTGGGCAGGTGAACTTGCAGCTTCTTGACTTTCATACAGTATTTTGGAGGTCCTTGTGGATAACCAGCCAAGGGAAACATCAGCCAGCCCGGGGTTTGCTGGGACTCCTGGGGACTGCTCTGGGGAAGGGCTTCCCACAGTCAGTGAGCTGGTCCTGCTTTTGTGCTCCTGGCACCCTCTGCTGCTTCCAGCTGGGTTAGCTACGGAGAGAGGGAGGTGGAAGTTTAATGTTTGCTGTCTTTGTTTTAAGAGATTAAAAACTAGTGTCAACTGTGCAGCCTCCTCTGCAGGCCAAATGGAACATTCCAGTGCTGATCCTGGGGCTTTCTCTCCTGGCAGATCCCCAAGGATGAGCACATCCTGCGGTTCCTGCGCGCCCGCGATTTCAACATCGACAAAGCGCGGGAGATGCTGTGCCAGTCGCTGGCCTGGCGCAAGCAGTACCAGGTGGATTTCATCCTGCAGTCCTGGAGACCCCCAGCCCTGCTGCAGGAGTACTACACTGGCGGGTGGCACTACCAGGACAAAGGTGAGGAGCTGGTCCTGGCACCTCGCCCATGGCCTGGGGTGTTGAGGAAAGCTGTATTGACGTTTTTAAAGTTAGCAAAGCAGTTCAGTGCCTGCGAGTCCCACTCTGCTTCCCTCTAATTGTATTTCCTCTGCACAGATCAGTCAGTGCAAAGCAATTTCTCTGAACAGGTTCCTTTTGGCAGTGATTTTTATCCTTTTCAAAAATTTAATGTGGCTTTTTAAAAAGGTATGGGAGTGATAGCCTGGGAGACTAAAGTGCTGCCCTCTCTAACCCCTTTGTTTTGAAGATGGGCGGCCGCTCTACATCCTCCGCCTCGGCCAGATGGACACCAAGGGTTTGGTGAAGGCCCTGGGAGAGGAATCCCTGCTGCGACATGTGAGCTGTGCCTTTGTGTGTCACCTCTTCCCCTCAGGCTGTTGGGAAGTCTTGTCGTGGTGCATCAGGAATCCTGGAATGGTTTGGGTGGGAAGGGACCTTAAGGCTCATCTCACCCCACCCCTTGTCTCGGGCAGGGACACCTTCCACTGTCCCAGGCTGCTCCAAGCCCCATCCAGCCTGGCCTTGGGCACTGCCAGGGATCCAGGGGCAGCCACAGCTGCTCTGGGCACCTGTGCCAGGGCCTGCCCACCCTGCCAAGGAACAATTCCTTCCCAATATCCCATCTAACCCTGCCCTCTCCTTTCTGTATTTTTTAAAATAATATCTCTGGGCCATCCTGGTTACTCAGCCATTCTCAGGCTAATCCCTGTCTGTTCTGTCTCTGACTCCAGGTTCTGTCCATTAATGAGGAAGGACAGAAGAGATGTGAGGAAAACACCAACATCTTTGGCCGCCCCATCACGTCAGTATAAATTGGTTTATAATTGGTTTTCCTGGGTCCTTGCAGACTCTCAGTGCCATGGTGAAGGATGCTGCTGTGGTTTGGGGTCATGTCCTTAGGGTTACAGTGCAGACAGCAATGTGTCTTATGGGCTGGGTGGGGACCACAGATATATATAAATTCATTTGTTGGACTTAAATTCAGACAAATCCTGCAGTTTCATTGGAAAGCAAGCATTGATCCTTCTTTACATAATTTTCATATCCCATCTCAAATTAATTTAATCTTTCTGTCTTGGTGATTTTAATCCACATCTTTCAAATTTCGGGTTTTTTTAATACAGGAGCCTGTCTACCAGATTCCACCTTCATTTAAAATGCATTTTTGCATTATTTTTAGCAATAGGCCTGCATGCCTTCACCTTCTTCCAGAGTGACAGCTGTTCCTACCCTTGGGGCTGGGTGTCTGTGTTACCTGGAGCTCACCTGGATTCAGGTGTCTGCTGCCCAAGTGGAGATGTGCTTTTATTGGAACTGCTTGTGTCCCTTGTTGGCTTCCCCAGATCCTCCACAGGCTGTGGGGTTACTGTGGATCCTAAACAGAGCAGCCACCACACTCTATAGAGTTCTGACAGGTCTTTTTCTGCCTGTTTATTTTAGATCCTGGACGTGCCTGGTGGATTTGGAAGGGCTCAATATGAGGCATCTCTGGCGGCCTGGGGTGAAGGCCCTGCTCAGGATCATTGAGGTGGTGGAGGACAACTACCCTGAGACCCTGGGGAGGCTCCTGATCGTGAGAGCACCACGGGTCTTCCCTGTGCTCTGGACCCTGGTGGGTGAAACCTGGGCTCTGCAGGATCACTGGCACTTGTGCAGGTTCACAGATAGCTACAGCAGCAGAGGCAGGGAGGGAGAATCTCCAGGCAGCCTATGGTGAGCTCCTGAAGAGCCACAGCAGAAGTAGGTCATGGGGTGCCTGTAGCTCACTGGGTTCTGGTGACTGCCATCCATCAGGACAGGATGAGAAACCTGGATCAGAATTCCCCATTCCACCCAAACTTGGTGGGCTTTCATATAGATGGGAAAAGACAGACACCTTTTAACCTCGTGCTGTAGGACATTGAAGGGTAATAAGTAGTAGTAATAAGTAGTAAATAATAAATCTAGTTCTGCCTGATGCCTGCTGACTGCTCTGGCAGTGTGAGAATGTGGTTACATTTCTTGTGAGGTTTGTAGGTGAGGTAGTGACTGCAGACTTCCTTTACATGAAGCAGAAAGTGTTGTGAAATGGTGATGCAGAGAGAGAACATTTCAGTTTGTTACTCTCTCTTTGGGAAGTGCCTCAGAGCTGTGAAGCTCTGCACACTGCTGGGATTTCCCAGGGTAGAGCCCAAAGCATCATCATGAGATGGCTCAGACAGCGTCCCCAGCTGCCCTCAGTGACAGCCATGTCCTGTGTGCCCTTTGTCTTCCAGGTCAGTCCCTTTATCAATGAGAACACACGGCAGAAGTTCCTCATCTACAGTGGCAATAACTACCAGGGCTCAGGAGGGCTGGTGGACTATGTGGACAAGGATGTGATCCCAGACTTCCTAGGAGGAGACTGCATGGTGGGTTTTCCTTCCTCGTGTACAGGAGCAATCTGGAACTGATTCCCTCTTCCTCACCACCGTGGCTTTCCACTGCCTTTTGGAAGGGGTTAGGCCTCTGTGCTGGGCAGCATGCCCCTGCTGTGGGCACAGGGCAGGTAGTTCATTTGGGCCCAGAGGGCTGCCCCGTGCAGTGCTGGGCAGTCAGAGGGCAGCTCTCTGCAGGGAGCTCACATAAACCTCAGCAGTTCAGTGAGCTCAGAGCCACGGTGCAGTTCTGGCTCAGCTGAGGGGTCAGCCCGTGTCTGACAGACAGCAAGAGTTCCTGCTTCACTGCTGAACATCCTGAGCCTCCTGTTTGTCTGTCTGGCCATTGCAGTGCACTGTCTCAGAAGGAGGACTCGTCCCCAAGTCCCTGTACCAGACCGAGGACGAGCCGGAGAACTCGGATCACATCCGGCTGTGGACAGAAACCATCTACCACTCTGCCAGTGTCCTCAAAGGAGCCCCACACGAGGTACAGAGCACAGCTTGAGGTGCTGGGATGGCACAGTGACAGTGTCCCCTCTGCTGGGGCTGGCTGGAGCAGCCAAGGGCTCCCAACACACGCAGCAGCAGAGGGCTCGGCAGCAGCTGCTGTTCCTGCAAGGGAACAGCTGCAAGTGTGGGAGTGAAGAACAGCAGTTTGAGCAGCAGTGTCTCTTACCTAAGGTCCAGTCTCCTCCTCCTCCCTCTCCTCCTCCTCTTGGGAGAAATAAAGGGCACACAGTTTCCCTTCTGATAATTCAGCTCCCATTGCCAGCAGTGTAGCTGGGACAGTAGTGGGGGTGATAAAAGAAGATGTGTGCTTGATGAGAGTCACCAGGACACAGGATGTCACAAAAAGGAGCAAATCAGTGTCAAATCAGTCTTCTGGCCTCTCTGATGGGGAGTCACTCTGATTTGGCTCTTTGTGCCTCAGTTCCACTGAGGTTTTCCTAGAACAAGTAACTCATTTACAAGCAACTCTGATATGGGGAGAAAAGGTAAAAACACCTGAGTGGGTGTACTGTGGTAGGGCTGGGAGTGGGAATTGGTGTGTATCCCCCTCGGGAATCAAGACCATCAGCCAGTTGGAGGATTGTGGAGCCAAGGCTGTTTGCCCCAGAGTGGGTGGGCAAACACACTGCTGCCATTTGAGCACCTGACCCTGCAAGGGGCTTGTTCTGTTCCTTTCTTAGATACTTGTGGAGATCCTGGAAGGGGAATCTGTCATCACCTGGGACTTCGACATCCTGAAGGGAGATGTGGTGTTCAGCCTCTTCCACTCCAAACGAGCTCCTGAGCCAAGTCACAAAGAAGCCACGTCACCAAGTCCCTCTGGTGCAGGGGACAATGTGCAGCTCATTGACAAGAGCTGGGTGCTGGGGGTGGATTACAGCCGGGTGGAATCTCCCCTGGTCTGCAGGGAAGGAGAGAGCATCCAGGTCAGAGGGGTTTGGTCCTGCCATGGCTTCAGAGTCCTGCAAGCTCCAGACTAATCAGGTGGCAGGGAGGGAATTGATGGTGTGGGAAATCAGGAGCTGCTAGAAAGGGGGGCTGTGGTCATTCCCAGCAGCAGCAGGGGAGGGATTCTGCCCCACTCAGGTGAGATCCCATCTACAGACCCCAGCCTCAGCCCTGGGGCCAACAGCAGCAGGACCTGGAGCTGCTGGAGAGAGTCCAGGGGAGCCCAGGGAGATCCCCAAGGGCTGGAGCCCCTCTGCTCTGGGGCCAGGCTGGGAAAGCTGGGGGTGCTCAGCTCAGGGATGCCTCAGAGCCCTGCCAGGACCTAAAGGGGCTCCAGGAGAGCTGGAGAGGGACTGGGGACAAGGCATGGAGGTACAGCAAACAGGGAATGGCTCCCACTGCCAGAGGGCAGGGATGGATGGGATATGGGGAAGGAATTGTTCCCTGGGAGGGTGGGCAGGCCCTGGCACAGGGTGCCCAGAGCAGCTGTGGCTGCCCCTGGATCCCTGGCAGTGCCCAAGGCCAGGCTGGACAGGACTTGGAGCAGCCTGGGACAGTGGGAGGGGTTGGAATGGGATGGGCTTTAAGGTCCATTCCCACCCAAACCATTCTGTGATCATTTTCTGGATACCCTGTGAAAGTGGGAAATTCTTATTTAGAGTGAGTCATTGGAAAGAGACTCCAAGCTAAAATTCTTATGGAAATTAAGCTAAATAAGCTTTTTTTTTTTTTTTTTTTTCCCTACTGGTACTACAGGGCTGTGTCTCGGGGAGGTGGGACAGGTGAATGACACCTGTGCTGGGTCATTCAGCCACTCCCCCAGACACCCGTGGTCACCTGGTGTCCTCCCTCTCTGCAGGGGTCCCATGTCACACGCTGGCCTGGCTTTTACATCCTGCAGTGGAGGATGCACGGGCCCCTGCCCTGCTCCAGCTCCAGCCTCCCCCGCGTGGACGATGTCCTGGCCTCCCTGCAGGGCTCCAGCCACAAGTGCAAGCTCATCTACTACTACGAGGTGCTGGCCTCCAAGGACTTCAGGTGGGGCATTTACAAGAGGTTTACTACAAGTTGCACTGAGTGTGAGTTAAACACTTGGATATCAGAGACCCTCACAGGGGGTGCATTTCACTGAGGAGGGGATGAACACAAAATTGGTGGCATTTGTGCAACCTGTCTCCTCTGGTGCTGTAGGTATTTAAAAGTTCCCTTTAATCTGTGTCCACCAGTGAAATTTGTGCTTTGGGTCTTGCTTGCAGCTGCCTGAAGAGCAGGAGATTTTTAACTCAAGAGGGTTTTTATTTTGAGAAGCTGCTTTTGGAGTAATTTAAATATCAGCTGGGCTATTTCCCAGATTACTTTGTTTGGCACTTGAGAAGGATGAGCACTTCTGAGCACAGGTGAACAGCCAGCCTTGGCAGGGTGTGCCTGGCCCCCTCCCCATCTCCTGTTAATCTGAGCTCTGTGCAGGTCCTTGTCTTCTCCCTAGAGCTGGAGGAGGCATTGGGCAGAACAGACTTGAAGGTGGTTGCTTGAGGTGTGACCTGGCCAGGTCCTGTGGGGTCAGAGGAGCAGAAATCCCTCACTCCAGTCATGCTTTTCCTTAGGGCTCTTCCTGAGCCCAGGCTGCTTTTGGCAGGAGGAGCTGGAGGTGCTGAGTCTGGAGTCCTTGGGTTCACAAGCATTTGGGGTGCTCTGGAGCTTTCCTTCGCCTCAGGGACAGCTCCCAGAGGCTCCAGCTGTGTCCCTTTCCCCGGAACAACAGTCAGAGACAAGGAATAGCTGTAAATGGGAAAAAATGTCTCTGACTGATTAATTTTTCATGATGACACAGAGATTCTTAGAGAGCAAGTGGGAAATAGTGGGCCAAAAAGCACTTGTGCAAGTGTTAGAGAGGGGGAGCTGATCTGTGGGAGGAATCCCTTAATTGCTGCCTTCCTAACAGCACATCTGTTCTGTCCTGTCCCAGGGGATCCATGTCGAGCCTGGAATCTTGCAACAGTGGCTTTTCCCAGCTGAGTGGAGTCACCACATCTTCCAGCCAGTCCCAGAGCAGCTCCCACCTCTCCAGATAGCAGAGCCAAGGCTGCAGCACAGGGGCACCCGGGGCTGCTCCAGCCCCAAACCAAAGAGCTCCAGGGCTGAGCCGTGGGGCAGCTGCAGCCACTTGGACACAGAGAGGCCTCTGAGAGCTGCTTCAACCACAAAAACTGAAATTCCAAGGGCAGTTTTAGGAGTTTTGGGTCAGCTGCATGCTTCTCAGTAGCTTCCTTCAGCACCTGTGGATTTTGGGTGCCTGGGAGTTTGCAGGAATCCACTCCACTCCAAAGGGCTCTTCCCATCAGTTCTTTCCCCAGAGGAGGCTGATGTTGCCTTACCTGTTGGACCTTTAGATAATTCCTGGGTGGCAAAACTAAGGGAATGTCCTGGGTGCCCATGGGGTACTGGTTCTGCACTGGACAGTCAAGTGGGCATTCCAGGGGCAGGGCCTTGGAAGGAACTGCCAACACCTGAACAGGTAGGATAGTTCAGAAATCAAACCAAAAACCTCTTCTGGTCTGGCAGGATGCTCTGGGAAATGTGTTGCATTTTTTAAACCCTGCTGAGAAACAAAGTCAAAATGGTTTTTTTAGAAATTCCAGGCATTGACTCTGCCTGCAGTGAGTGGCATCTTTCAAACTATTGTTTCTTTTTACTCAGGTTTACAGCAATAATGAGTAGGTCTGTCCCATTCCCTAGTGGATGGGAACTGAATCCAGTCCTAAAGGGCTAAGAAAAGCAATATTTGATTTCCTGAAGGCACAAGATTTTCTGGCAGTATTACAGAACTTGCTTCTTTTAAACATGAGCTCACTTGAAACCATTCAGAGAGGCATGTATGTATGTAAGCACTTACTGAAGCCTATTTATTCTATACTAGCTTATTTTAAATTAATTTTTAACTTATTATGTCAGAAATGACTATTTATTAAATACAGTCACCTTTTTTTAATGAGATGAACTTTGTTTTAGAAAGGAATAACTGATTGTTTTCAATCCCAAGTAATCTTTCTGCTTGGGTCCTGATTTTTATAATCACTGGATGTGCTTGCAAAAGGGCTGCAGTGGGGTAAGGGCTTGTGTCACCTTCCTTGCAAGGAAAGGTGAGAGTCCAGTGCTTTTTTAGACTGTTTTTTAGGATTAAGAAACAAGGATTGAGTTCAGGAGTTGTCATGAAGATGCACTGTCTTCCTACACAGCAAAATGCCACATTTGTCCCTAATCTCTGATTGTTCCTGTAGTCAGGTTGGGGAGCAAAGTTATCCATGTTCTTGTCCAGGTGAAAAAAACGAGAGCAGGGGTCAAATACTCACCAAGTTTTTATTCAAGAATCTGTGAAGTTGTTCCTTCCCACCCTCGTTTTGAATCACTGGATTTGAAGCACCAGGCTCTGCCAAAGGAGAAAAGAGCCAAAATATTTGGGACAATGGGAGACAAAAGAACTTGATATGGTTTTGAGTTGTTTGGTGGGGTTTTTTAAGGATTGGAGCCAAGGGAATCACTCTGCACTTTGCATCTCTCCCTGTGAACAGGTAACTTGATTATGTAGAGCTCAGGGAAGTTCTGATTTCCAATTCTCAGTTGTTCCATAGACTTTAATGTTTCTCCCAGACAAGTGAAACTTCTGTCTCTGGCATTTCAGCATAACTGGAGTCTGATAAAGAGGGACAAATGTAAATGCAATTCATACCTTTCCTCTGGAAAGTCAGGAATTCTGGAAGCGAAGTCCATGCATGTATCCCTCATGGAAAATCCTTGACCCAGAATAAAATCTCATTCTAGAAACGGTTTCAGACTCCCAAAGCCCCAGGAGCAAACCCAGCCCTGTCTCCCTGTGCTGTTTCAGGATTTTACCTTCCCTTCTTAGGTGGTTGCTCACATCCTACAGTGGCAACATCCCTTTTCCCTGGGTTTGCTCTGAGTAAGAATCTCTTTCTTTGCCCTGGATTATTTTTTTTTGTAATTTTATTTTGAAATATGGGATATGCTGGGGTTTTTTTGCTCACCAGAAGTTTGACTTTTGTCAGTGAAGCACTGACAAAACTTGGCTCCTAGCAGATCTCTGAAGGGTGAGGTCAAGGGCTGGTGAAGCAGCTTGTGACCTCTCCTTGGCAAGGCTGCCTGGTTTATCCCACCGGATAATTTACTTGGAAACCAATTTAAATAATTCAATTTTTTTTTCCTTTTTCTCCAGAATATTAGCAGGAGAAAGGGAGCAACAGCCTGGATGCTGTGCTTTCTAAACCTGACCTTGTGAACTGCAGACACCAGACAGAATTCTTCTGCATCACTTTTTCCTCTTTCAAACAACATCATTGTGCTTTAGAAAATAAACTCAAGAGTTTTCTTCACGGTGAGCTGAGGCTGGGAGGGGTTCTGGATCCTCAGAAATTTCCTAAGCCAGAAGCTGAGGAAATGGGCTCATTTTGGGTGATGCAGCAAAGCCCTCCCTGCTCTGTCCCCAGCAGCGAGGCCGCTGAGCTCGGGCTGTGTGCAGGGAAGGAGCTGCTAATTAAAAACTGGCTCCCAGTCCATCGGGGCTCTCCCTGTTTCAGATATTCCTTATGCAAACACAACACCTACCTCAGAGCTGGTGCCATCCTGTGGTGGGGGGGAGTGCAGGACAGTGTGCAAGGTGCCAAGGGCTGTGCCAGGGGTCCCAGTTAAATACAGCCAGATGTGACACCTCCATTGCCAGTGAGTTCTCCAGCTCTGCCCCATTCCCTGGGCTCTGCCCAGGGCTGGGAAGGGCAAACACAGAGTGAGGATGGATGTTGGATGGCCTCGGCTGTCGTTCAGGGCACAGTCCTGAGCCACGTTTTGCTGCTCTCCGGTGTGAAAAGGAGGAGGAGGATGAGGAGGGCTGAGCCCCCGGGGCACCAGGGGCGGCTCCAGCCCCGCTGTGTCACCGCTGCCTCTGGGGGCTTTCACAGGAAGGCACCGCAGCAGCTCCATCCTTCCTCAGCTTTTGCACTCACTGCTGGAAACAGAATTCCCGCCGGTGATCAGGCTGGGGAATCACGAGTGACTGAGGTGCAGCTGTGCTCCTCTGCTCAGCCACTTCGGTTCTGTCTGTTCCCTTTCAGGAACTGTGAATAACAGTTTGTCATCCCAATTTGCTTTGTCGGCAGAAGAGTTTGAAATGCCACAATCTACTCACAATTCCCAGTAGGAAGTAGTGAGCCCAGCTGGCCACACTGGGCTGGGAAGCTGCTGGGGCTGAGGCCAGCCCTGCTCCAGGCAGGGAATCCCTATTTCAATAGGCATTTTACGAGCTCACACTGCTTTAATGTCCCAAATGTTTGTACTGTGAGCAATTAATGCAAGGAACAGCTATTAGAGATTCACTTGACAGTGGCTGTCAAAGATTCCTGCATGCAATTAGCTTTAATATTCCTCCAACACATTTGTGATGCTCCTTGCATCTGATTATTTCCCTCTTGGAAGGTGAAATTGGAGTCAAGTCACGTTTGCTGGCTTTTAGTGGCACCAACACCCACTTCCAAGATTCAGTTACACCTAAGTTAAATGGGCATTAATTTTTTTAGTAGCACTTACTTTCTTTCCTTTGCAGCTGGCTTTGGTTTTATACATTGAAATCCTCATTTTTCTCAGCCAAAACCCTCTAACTTCCCGTAAGAGCCCACTGCAGGGCACTGAAATAACAGATGTCCTCCTGTGCTGGTGTCTGTGGGTCCTGGTAGAGCTGTACTTTTGGGTATGTGGGAAATAAAACATCTCTTGAGAACATGTGGAATTGTTTGATTCAACTGTTGAAATTGCAGGGCAGTGAAAATTCAAGCCTGTGTGCTACACTCTTTGCCCCCAGAAGCACGGATAAGGCTTGTATTCACTTTTTCCTTCTTTTTAACTATAATGTTTGGGCTTTTTTTCTACAGAACCAGCATCTTTTGTTTAATTTCCTAGCACAGAGTGAGCTGGAACAGCACATTCTACAGTGTGGGTGTTATTAAAAATAAAAGAGCCCCTGGGTTCCACTGGGTGGCTGAAGTTAACTGGGAAAGGATCAGCTCCTTCTGCAGCTGCACATCAGGAATTTGGAGTTTCAGGCAGGTAGCACTAAAAGACTTTATTCAAGTTTCTGTAAATCATAGAAAAATAGAGTCTCTTGGTTACAGGCTGATTTGATGCCAACACTGGCACAGAAATTATACATCCTTTACTTGGAGAGGTAAAAAGGGAGTGAGTGCATAAAGATGTGTGGGGCTCAGACAGGCTCTCACCCCTCTGCAGCATCCAAGGGGCTCATCCAAGGCTGGGTTTCCCTCACGGGGAAGCAAACTCAAACACTGTTTGAACGTAACTGTGCAAGATGTGTTCCAGGTTCCAGAGGAGGTGCTTGAGATCCTGGCTGGTCTCTCTGAGGAGTGCCCAGCTGGGGTAGGGCAGCCTAGTTCGTGCCATGCCAGCCATGCCAGGCTCTCCCTGTCTGTGCCCTTCCCCACGGGGGCAGCTCCAGGCTGTGCCAGGGCCCCTCAGCCCACTGGGCAGAGCCTTTGGCTCCTGGGACTTGCACAAATGGAACCTGGGACCTGAGAGGGCTTTTTTTGGTGCTGTGCGGCAGGAGCTGCCCCAAAACACAGCACCCATCACGCTTCTGGGGCTGCTCTGGCCTGAGGCTGGTCAGAAAACCCTCCAGCCCTGCAGGGGCTGTCACAGCCCTGCATGTCACCCAAGCCCCCACCACGGCTGGGAGAGGAGGGCTCTGCTGGCACTGGGTGCTTCACCTGCTTCAACATTTTAGAACAAACTTGGTCACTTCTCTGATTAAAATCTGAGCTTAGCAAGGAAGGGCAGACACTGACTAATACCCTTAAGCCCAGCTTTGTACTAGAGGCAGTTTAACTAGCATTTAAAAAGCACTGCTCGGGTGAGCAGGGATCTTTCAGAGGTGCCTGTGACTTGCATCCCTCAGCTGTTTCCCCCAAGTTTTGGAAGGAACCAGCCCATCTCCTTTCCTGCTGCAGCTGTGGAATTCCCTCACCCAAGGGGTGTCCTGCATCCCCTAATGCTGCAGTGCTGGGTGCTGGGGCAGCAGAGGAAAGGAAACCACAGCCTCAGCAGGGCAGTTCTTGGGCTGAGGTTCCTCAGGCAGCAGTTTGAGGCTCCCAGTCGGTGCTGAGGGGCAATGCAGGGTGAAATACCTCATCCCATCCATGATTCTAAAGGAACTCTTGGTTTGGGTCCTGAGTGTCCTCGGGCTCCTGAGTGTTCTCAGGCTCCTGAATATCCTCCTGGTCCCAGGCAGCAGAGGTGGGGCTGTGAGGGGTGTCCCCGTTGATGTCCCTCAGGGGGTAGTAGCGATAGTCCCGGTCCTGCTGCCGCCGCCGCCCCTGCAGCACCAGCCCCACGTTCCCCAGGGCACTCAGCACGAGCAGCAGGGCCAGGGCAGAGCTCAGGGAGAGCCACGAGCTTCTGTGGGACACACAGATCACGTCACCAGCAGCTCACCTGTGGCTTGTGTGCCCAGGTGTGCAGAGGATTGCCCTCCCTTCTCTGTGCTCCCAAGTTCATGGGCCTGCTCTCAGGCAGGACAGAACCATGGAATCATTTAGGTTGGAAAAGCCTTCCAAGATCACAGAGTCCAACCATTCTCCCAGCACTGCACCAACCCATGCCCCCAGCTGCCACATCCACACAGCTTTTAAATCCCTCCAGGGATGGGGACTCGACCACCTCCCTGGGCACCTCGTGCCACTACCTGACCACCCTTCTGTGAAGGAATTTCCTCAATATCCAACCTAAAGCTCCCCTGGCACACCTTGAGGCTGTTTCCCTTTTTTCTGCCCCTGTTCCCTGGGAGCAGAGCCCGACCCCCCGGCTGTCCCCTCCTGTCAGGAGTTGTGCAGAGCCACAAGGTCCCCCTGAGCCTCCTTTTCTGCAGACTGAACACCCCCAGCCTCTGAGATGCACAGTGAGCACCAAACACTTACTCTGACAGAGAGAACTTTTCTTTGCTCTTTTCCTGGGAAGCCAAACACTGTCCAGCTGGAAAACGAAGAGGGAAGAAAAATGGGGCAGGGTGTAAAATTCCACTAAAGAAGAGCAAGGTAAAGCAGAGTTGGTGCCTAAGCAAACACCATTATGCACTAAATCTGCTCTTCCAGCGTTTATGCAAACCCCACCCCCTGCAGTCACATACCTCTGTGTAAGTGGTCCTGCAGTGCCCCGTGGTGGGTGATGTTGCAGCTGCCAGTCTCGGGGTCACAGGGACACGAGTGGTCACACTCACAGCGGCTCTGGCAGCTCGGCCCAAACCAGCCCGGTGGACACTCTGGGGATGGGATCACAAAGGGATCGGTCATTGCCAAAGCTCCACCTGCTCTGAGGCCACTCAGGCTGCAGCTCCCTCAGCTCAGCTGAGCCTGCAGCAGCCTGCGAGCTCCGTGCTGGGAGTTCAAGGCTGCTCTTCGGTGTGCTTCAGAGGAAGTTTGTGTAAAACTGGGATCACAGAATCATGGAATGGTTTGAGTTGAAAGGGGACTTAGAGCTCATCTTGCTCCTACCCCCTGCCATGGGCAGGGACATCTTCCACTATCCCAGGTTGCTCTAGGACCTGTCCAACCTGACATTGGACACTTCCAGGGATGGGGCAGCCACAGCTTCTCTGAGCAACACCTCTGAGATGGGACTGGCTGAGTGTTCCCAGGCTGGAACAGAACATCAGTGACAGAATCAGGTAGCCAGGAAGTTCACACCCCCCTGTATTTAAATTGTTCACTCAGACACAGGGGGACCTGGAGTGGTTACCAGGCAGAACACTTAGCACTGGCACAAGTGGTGTGAGGGTGGGATGGCAGGACAGCCCTCTGGAGCATTCCACAGGCACTGACCTGCACCACCTGCAGCCTGGGCTACAGCAGGGCCTGGTGCAACACCCTGGAGCAGAAGATGTTTTGTGTTCACTCAGGAGCACTGGGAAATGAATGCAGTTCTTTGGGGCTAAGACTAAACAGGAATCCACAATTTTCCATTGATGAAGCAAACTCCTCTTTCCTCTCTGCTCCTTCCTCTCCCTTTTAGCCCATTTGGGTAGGACAGGCAGGCCCAGAAGAGCTGGGAGCCGGCTGGAGATGTTCAGGCCTGAGCTACCCTGGCACAACTGCACCTAGAGATGGCTCAGAGGTGACAGAAAATGCTGTCCCCAGCCCCAGAGGTGGCTGAGACCCTTACCGTGCTCACAGCTGGTGCCGTAGAAGCCGGCAGGGCAGGAACAGGCTCCGTGCACGGGGTCACAGGAGCTGCCGTGCTGGCACCGGCACTTCTGGCTGCAGGACTCCCCGTAGGAACCAGGAGCACAAGCTGCAGGAGACAAGCAGAGGTGTCAGCAGGGCTCTGGCAGCAGAGCTGAGCAACCCCAGCACACAGCCACAGCTCACCCCTGTGGAGGGATGCTCAGCAATAAGCTGAGTGTGTGCCCTGAACAAGGAGCCAAGACTTGAGTGTCTCCCCCCAAGCCAGCTGCAGATGCTCCAGCTGCAACTAAACATGCACTGCCAGAAAAGAGCAGCCCAGCCCACAGGGTGGCCTTTCCCTTCCCTGCTGCCCCCTCGGGCAGGCAGCTGTTGAAAGTGGCTCCCACTGCCCTCTCCCTGGCTGTGAAGAGGCAGTGGAGCAGCAGTCAGCATTTACCTTCAGTGCAGTTGCTGCCAGTCCAGCCGGCGTCACACAGGCATCCAGCTACAAAAACATGGACCAGGCATTACTGACAACAAAACACCTGCAAGCAGCAAGGACTTGAAATTAGGAGCCTCTGCCTCTTGAGGTGCCCTCTTACCCCTGCCAGCAAACCCCCAGAAGAGGAACCCTGCACCCACACAAAGGGTGGGTTCACACCCCCCCTCCCCAGCTGCCAAAAGCAGCAGAATCCCCGCTGATGGCATTCCCTGGGATCAGCTCTGGGGCAGCTACTGGCAACACCTGCACCCACCGAGCTCTGCCCAGCCACTGCACTGGGGCACACTTGAATGAGAGTGGAGTCAGGAGGACAAGAAGAGGGTAACAGGACTGGGCACAGAGGGGCAGAAGCTGGGGGCAGACATTCCAGCAATCCCTAGGTTCAGATTCATGGGAGAGTAGCAACTGCACGCTTGTAAAAATTATGAAGTAGGAGAGGCAGGTGAAGAAGGAACAGTAAGGGCAGGGGACAGAAGCAGCTGCTGTCACACAGCATAATACACACCCTGTCCATCAGCAGCCTCACAACAAACCCACAGCACAACCCTGGGGCAGAAAAGTAAACTGAGGCACAGAGCTTTAAGTTTCCAGCCCCCAGCCCTGCTACTGGCTCCTAAAGGCAACGCGTTTTGACCATCAGTGCTTCGGATGCTGGAGAGGGGAAGCAGCCCCACCCAGCCAGCTGGTGCCTGGTGGCAGGCACACTGTATTCCCCAGGGATATTCCCCAGGGAGGCGCGGCCAGGTCCTGCCCCGCTGCCGCGCCCCGGGCCGCTCGGTGCCACCGCACAGGGACTCACCGGCGCTGCAGACGCCGCGCAGGCTGCAGTTGGCAGGGCCGCAGTCCAAGGTGTCGCAGGCGGGACCTGCCCAGAAGGGGCTGTCGCAGCGGCAGTGCCCGGCCACGCACAGCCCGTGGCCGCTGCAGTCGGGCGGGTCGCAGCCCGGTTCGTGCACGCACACCACGGTGGAGATGCTCCGGGGACAGCGCCACATGCTGTCAAAGGAGCTGGGGACAGCAGAGGGGACAGCCTGAGCTCACCCT